CCACACACACACACTCGAGAAAATTTCCACTAGGCCTAATTGCAAGGCGAAGAAGTATGACGTCACTTAATGGCGAAGAGAGAAGAACAGGCGAAAACTGTCGTATTTGGATACCCACAGCTGTGCCAGGAGTGGATATTAGTTTTTTAAAGAAGGTCGCCGCGAAAATCTCGTTATGAATAATAATTATAATCAAAGCTCATCATTGCTACACATAAACACTGTCGTTATCTTCTCGATGACACACTGCCAAATTTATTGACTGCACTCACATTATCATGGTCAAGCGAGGGCTGATACATCATCTCTCAGGCTTAACAAATAGCGGATGATGATATTCTTATTCAATGATACTTAACATCACGTTAATCTACAATGCAACAACATGGCTTATTGCATGCATTCTCAGTACTTATTCATTGCCCTGCTGCCTTTAATTGTGCTGCTTTTAAAGAAGTTTCACACATTCATACATGTCTCCGAACAATGGAATCTGCCTCATAATGTGCATATATAGATATATACGTTAAAACGTTCGAACGTTTGGGCATACATAGGGCATAAGGGATAAACTAAGAGAAGCTGGTGTCTCTAGAGGGTCGGGAAGATACCGCAACCTGCATGAAAACACCAGAAGAACATCAAACCAGCTGTTAACAGCAACGATCAGCAGGCAGACCCTTTCATTGATCCTAGAGAGGAGGGAGGAGCGGCTATGGCATTGTGCCGCAGGCAATTATGCCTATTCTCCAACCATGTAAGTTAGTATAGGGCATATAATATTCATGAAAGCAAACACGGTTTCTGACGCCGAAAATGACCAAATTTGTATCGCAATAGGCATAATAGTTAGGTCTATATTCAAGACCTACGCCAATGCTGCTCTCGACTTATATTTAGACAATTTGACAGGCTCCTGTTTCTCAAAATGTAAAGTACTGAAAACGAGGGTGCGTAGAATCGTTCAATATTTAAGAGATTTCTTCTTAGTTTAAAAGATTTGGTGCGTTTCCTAAGACGTTGGGTGCTTTTTTCAGGACCGCATTTTTGTTACAACATTTTCATTTTCATTGGTGTGTTTCCGTCCCACCTGGTTACAAAATCCACGATACGTATCCTCTCTCCTAGCTTCCGTTAACCTTCTAAGCGAACTGAAAGGTTGTTAATAATCTTTGTGTGCATGCAAGAGCATACTACTAGTTCCTATCTGGCGGGCATTTAAATAAAGTTGATGTTTGTTACTGTTAAATATTGGTATTCAGGTGAATATCCTTGGATTTGGGCACATGTTGAAATTTTCCAAGTTGAAACTTTTTTTTACCCCAATCTCACATTAACTGCTGTTGCTGCTGTTGCTGCTGTTGCTGCTGTTGCTGCTGTTGCTGCTGTTGCTGCGTTGCTGTTGTTGCTGCTGTTGCTGCGTTGCTGCTGTTGCTGTTGGTGTTACTGATATTATTGCAGTTTTGTGATGGTGGTGTTGGTGGTAGTGGTGGAGATGGTGGTGGCGGTGGTCAAGATCATGAATGTGGCAGTACAATAGTAGTCCAAATTGTACTAATGGCATGATTAGTGACAGTAGCAGTAGCAACAACACAGTGGTAGTAGCGGTAACAATAACAGCAACAGAAGCTGCAGTAGTAGTAGTAGTAGTAGTTGCAGTAGTAGTAGTAGTTGTAGTAGTAGTAGTAGTAGTAGTAGTAGTAGTAGTAGTAGTAGTAGTAGTAGTAACATTAAGAAGTAATAGTAGTAGAAGTTGTAGTGCCATTATTATTGTTGTTGCCGTTGTTGTTGTTGTTGTTGTTGTTGTTGTTGTTGTTGTTGTTGTTGTTCTTGTTGTTGTTGCTGCTGCTGCTGCTACTGCTGTTGTTTGGTGTTATTGTGCCGTTGTAATTTCCTTGTAATAAGATAGTAACAATATTTACTATTATACAAAATATGTAGCACGGGAAAAAACGACTTTATAGGCTGCACAGGCAAAGTGAACGTGCATCTTATTTTGACACGTACTGTTTAGGTCACATTTTGACTATAATGTCAAAGTTTCTCTTTAGTGACATCAAATCGCATGCGAATCCCCATTTTTCTGCTTCCCATTGAAATGCTTGTCCGAAAGCTGAACAGTGGAATTTCCAGGGAGGAAGGGCAGGTGACCCAGCCATGGACAGAAGCGACATAGGCGGCGATAGAAGGGCCAACTGTACAACATATCAGTGTTCTCCCCCGACTCGTCCTCAGAATGACCGTGCTCGTGGTTGTTTTGACCCATGCCTCTACTCTCCAATGTTCCTGTCGGGACAGAAAGAAAACATATAGCAGCAGCAGCAGCAGTGCTTTGGCCTTCAAAATAATTCTTAATACGTTCAACCACATGTTGAAATTTAATGTTAGGTCTATTTAGCTTTTCAGGGAACAGAAATCAATACTACGGTACACTGTCATTGATCTAGTTATAATATGTCAGCGAAATATCTCACAAATATACTAATGAGATTTCAGGCTCATGGGTTTTTCAAGCCCTCTGTTGATAATTAACTGGTAGTTTCTCAAATACTAGAGATTTATATTTCTCATTTCATTTCTTGTTTCGCACTTAGTTGTCGTTACGTCCATTCTACATGTAGTTCAGACATCTACATGTATAATGTATTATTTCTCATTTCATAGGCTGTTTGTCTTTTAGCTGCGTTAATGTTCGTTCTAGTTGTCAAGGCATCTTCAATTAAATCTCACTGATTGACAAAATGTCTAAGATGTTGAACTACATGACAAAGGAGTAGGGTTGCTGTTCAAAACATGTTGACACGATATCAGTTTCTTTTTGTCAAGAGTTACATGTAGAAACCGTAGGAGTAGCAGGCCGCATTTAAGCGTCCCCCGACCACATACTTTGACACAGAAGACATTATTAAAATACCAAGTTAAAAAAAAGTAAAAACACAAAAAAGGACAAACTTGTCGATGATAAATAACAGAGAACCAAGCAGCGCCTACGCAAGCCGTAAAGGAGTCATATAATTTTGAAAGTAGAAACCTGTTCAACAATAACAATGCCAATATTATAGTTATTTATTTAGTCACTTCTAGATCTAGAGGTCTTAGCCCACGTATCCTTGTTGAAGGTTAGACGTATTACTTCCCAGTTTTCATTAGTACAGCTTCTTTCGTGCTGTTTTTTCCGCCCACAAAGAAGTATCTAATCTAAGAGGGTATTTCAGCTTCAGATTCAGTTCTTCTTTAAATAACAGGTGGTAGTGACGTAGGTAGAGGCAGAGGAGCTGAATGAAAATCGTAAATGTTGGAGGAGAAACAGGACCTCATAACTCTTAATTTGCCAAGATATGGGAAAATATATAATATTCATGATGAAAACACTCTTAAATAAAACACCCCAACAAACAAACAGAAACAAGAACATGAAACAAATTCTATGACGTATTAAAATGTGATTGTGTGTCTACATCTGAGTGTGTGTGTGTGTGTGTGTGTGTGTGTGTGTGTGTGTGTGT